ATTATTTGACAGCAGTTGATGGAACGTGCATGATTATTGTCCCAGTTTATTAAAATAAAACTCACGGAGCTAAAGTGGCTTTCCCAAATCACAGAGCTGGTAAATAGCAAAATTAGGTTTGAAGTGGAGGGACATCCAAAATCACGGAAAGATGCCCAAGGAAATGAGTTGGTTATCATACATCAGGTAGGCATACATACATCCATTTATCCTGCGTAAGCCACACGGACAGGAGAAACACTACAAAGATATGCTCACATGTTGTTTTAAGCAGTGAGTTTTAGGTGCAGGATTTATTTCAGCAAATATATGTTGAAAATTTTGCTGTGCAAAGCGTTATGGGAAAGCCAAATATGAATCAAATGCAGCTCCTATCTTCAAAGAGTTCCCAGCCTGTGGGAGGATGCACAGGCAAAAAACAAAGCAAAACAAAACAAATATAGCACATGCAGATAAAATTAGTGACACATCTGAAACAATAGATTCTGATATCATGCAAGAATAAAATTGCATTTATCACGACATGAGGCTTTATTATATTATATATAGTCATACACGTATATGTCATGTAGATGCTATATTTCTGCTTATTTGTTTACTGACAATCCATAACACTGGAATGTAAGTTCAGTGAGGGCAGGTGTTTTACTTGAATTTTTTTAATGCTGTGTCGCTGGCACATAGAAGGTGCCTGGTGCATTTTTGTTGAATGAAATGAATAAATAAACATGCAGAGAATGGGAAGGATTCTATAAATGGTCACCACCAACCCCAGTAACCTGGATGTGACGTTGTGTGTTTCTTTTTAAAACCCTTCTTTTGTTCCTGCAAAATTCTGCAGAAGTTGCTTATAACACATTGGAACAAGACGGCACAATGGAATATTTTGTTTAGGTTACTTCCTTTGACGTTTGGTTCTCCATTGGCTTTGGTGGCTCTGTTAGAGTATCTATTCCGGAACCTTGCCAGAGGAATACTGCAGAAACAGACCAGTGTGCTACTGCTCGTGAGATACATCAGATGGCATTAGGACATATTCGCAGTTTCCTGTTCTTTATGAAGCCGTGTAGATGGACTGTGGTGGGCTTGAGTAGACAAAGTAGTTGCATCTGCCACAAAGGACACTGTTTTCAGGGAAACAGGAAAATTGGGGGAACAACAACAAAAAGAATATGATTATTTCTTGATTACCACCATAATGACATAACAGTTGCATTTTGAGATTATTAAAATGTCCCATGGATTTTTCTATTTTTGTCCTTTCTTTTTTGTTATTTTATATGCCATTATCTTAGAGATCATGGAGAGTGAGATAGAAAACCACTTAGGGCATCATAATCTTCCCCGGCGTAAGCTTCTCTACACTGCAAGTAAGTAGTTCAATTTCACTCCAAATAGAAAAAGGTGATTTGGTTTTTGAGAAGCTGCAAATGGAATATTTATTTCACTGATAAAAACCCCTTTTTGAAAAACAAGGGCTTGTTAGACTTTGCTTGAATTTTTACAAACTATTTTTGAAAATATTGTTGAAGTCGGCAACCATATTCAATTCCTTTGGAGTACAGAATGCCATTTAGAAAATCAAGTTTTGTCCATGTTTTGTCATGTTTTCTATCTAGAATTCTTTTAGTTCCTTGTCATCTGCATTTGAAAGCAGGTTGCAGCTCGATCCACTTTTAATTAATATAATTAATATAAACATTTTACATAGCTTTGCATCTCCCTGTCCACATTACTTACGGCATGAGATTAGTTAAGCAGATTCTTTCATTTGTTTGTTTTCAAGACAACACTGAGACTTGTTTGCATTTTGTTGTACTCAGATACTTAGCAATATTCTAGCCAAAGCTATGCCCTGAACTCTGAGCATTTCGAGTTCTTTCCTCTGTGTCTATTTCTGTTCCTGTTGTTTTGTAAAGGAAAACTGTGTCTCCTTCTATACTTGCTCTCTGCCGGTAGACCCACTGTGTCAGTGCGGGATGCATGTGGCTTTATGGACTTCCTTCATCAGAACCCCAGAGGTGCGTGTCAGGGTGTGGGGAGGGAGTCCGCCCACACCTCCTGCGGAGATCAGAGCTTCTAAGAATTTGTATTCATAAAGAAGCTGTCTAGATGTTTGCTTTTGCACACTCAACTTTGGGGCCATAGCTGCCTTTCTAGCAGCACACTGTATACTACAGCCAAAATGGTCTCAAAATGCAGCTCTGGCCTTTTATTAATCAAAATCCGTCTGTCCTCTGCTCTCATAGAACCCAGAGTGTCCTAGGAGAATAGAGGTATTCCCATGTTGCGATAGGATTCCCGTTCTCAAGAAGAATTTTCATACCTTTGTTGTATACCTCATCTTCAACACATTTGCATACCTTCCAATTTCACATTTGTATGATTCACTGGTTAGTGCCTGTTCCCCTTTCTGGCAGGGCAGAGACTCTGTCTGCTTTTGCCCAGCACAACATGTGAACACGATAAGCACCTCTTTATGCATGAATGCTGCCACTGCACTGAGCACTGAGGATAACCACCCAGCCTCTGCCCTTCTCCAGCTCATAAGCTATTAGAAGAGCCAGCCAGCAAGTGAGAATGAGTCATTCCAAGGCAAAGATATAATAATACTTGATGATAATACAAAAGCATGGGCTGGAGCCAAGAGTTGGTCCTTGGAAGAATCTAGAAAATGGCATTTAAGTGAGAATCACTGCTAGATTTTTAGCTAATTCTTTCTCCTTCAGTGCCTGAATTTTGTTTTCTCTTGAGGCATATGTGTTCCCCCTATCTCTTCTCAGCACTGAGGGAATCCATGACATCCCAGACCATGACCATTCCTTTGGTCTGGGATTGTGCCAGGGAGGGGGCAAGGAAGGAGAACAGCATCTTTATTCCTGGGTCGCCTCAGTGAGTGTTAGAGTACATAGAGGTCATTTCCCTTCTCTGCCCCTTGCTACCTGTGGAATCCCAAACACATTTTAATTTATCTCCCCAAGCCTCCATGTCATTTTATGTTAAATGGAATAATACAATTTGCCTCACAGAATTGTTATGGGATTAAGTGGAATAATGGCTGTGAATGCTCAGCATGGTACCTGGCTTCTAGATGACAAGTGTTTAGTAAGTGTCATATTTGTGGTAGTAATCATGATACTGTGGAAGCGGAAATGAACAAGCTATTTTAGGTTAGTCTCTGAGAACATCACAAAGAAGATATTAACAGGAGGATATTAAAAATTATTTTTTCTTGCCACCAAGAATAGCGATCCCATTGTCAAAAGTATTTTATACTTTGATATTTAGCCACAATCTCACACTGTAGCGATACTCTCATCTTACAGTTCTCCTATTTGTATTTTACTTGGTTATCTTAAGTACATAGGCTTCACTCAGTTATAATTGTGGGTGCCCAATGGCTTCCTACCAGTATGGGTAAGAGTTGATTACTTGTATCAGAATTACCTGAGAGTGAATTAGAGATGGAATATAAAAGTGCCCTAATAATTTGCTCTTGTATTCCCTCCACTCTCAGTGGGCTTCTCCCATATTGGAACAGTTCATTCATTTGACAGATTTCAACTTGGATGCCCCTTCCATAGAAGACCAGTCTGATGTAGCTACTCAGCCTCTGAGCCCATTTTCACTCTCTGCACAGCACAAAATCTGTTTTCTAGTAGTTTTTTTATTCCTTCAATCTTTTGTTCATTCACTGTTCCCTACAAATATCAGTTCCCTAAGAATAGGAACCGAACCTGTTCCCTTATAAAAGATGACTGTTTTGAACCCACTGGTCCTGAGCCCTTCTGTGCAACAGTGCAGGGCATAATGGTGAGAAGAACTGGCCTGGTCTTCCTAGAGGCAGCCATGAGGGAGAGATACATGTTGGTCAAAACAAACAAATGAAAATGAATAACTATATAATTCCAAATTGTGGTAAGTGCCCTGGAAGACAAGAAACTTGTCTTAACTGAGGAACTGGGAAAGGTTTGCCTGAGCAAGTATAACTTCAGTTGAGATCTGAAGAGTGACTACGAGTCCCCCAAGTAGATGAGGGGCAAACATGGTGCTGATTGTGTGCAAGCACATGCTTGGGGGAGGGGCTGCTTCAGGCTTGTGGCAGGAACACAGCTTGTGACGGGAGAACATTCAGGAACGAGAGCAAAGCCTCATGTGTTCATCACAAAAGGCAAAGTAGATATGTGAGGTTAGAGAAAAATCTGGAGGTTGGTGGAAAAGCCAGAGCCACAGAAAGGAATGGGCTGCCCTGCCATGTTAATGTCATGTCCTTTAAAGCCATTGGAGCAGATGAGAGAGAAAGGAATCTGACGCAGATCCTCAGGTTAGCATTAGATGTCACCAAGATAAGGAAGAGCCAGTAGAGATGATTGAAAAGTGGTGGCCAGTGAAGAAGAAAGAAAACCAGAATTGAGTGTGGTCATGGAAACCAGACACAGATGGGTTTCAAGAGGAGGAAGTGGCCACCATGTTAACTCTACTGAAAAGTCAAGGAAGATACAAAGAAGAAAATGTCCCTTGGATAATACAGCAGCATAAAGTTTGTTAGTGACCATGACAAGTGCTGCCCTGGGGTGTGATGGGGCCAGAAGCCCAACTGGAATGAATAGTGGGCAGAACACAGGATGAGAAAGTGAAGGTAACCACTCAAATCAACTATGTGAAGAAGTTTAGAGTATATTCCCACAGGTACCTGAAGAAGAAATTTTTGAGCCACCATGCTCATCCAATCAACAAAAACCTAAATAAAATATCTATTCATACAAAAAGCCTTGAAAGAAACCAAATAAAACAATTCATACCCATCCAAATTTTTCTCTTGATCTTTATGTTACCCTCCTGTATGGAAACACTTTGGAAGGGCGACCCCATAAAAAATGTCTCTCGCTCTCTAAGACTTATTGTCTGGTGTTTTTTTTTTTTTCTTTCTCTTTCTTTCTTTCTTTCTTTCTTTCTTTCTTTCTTTCTTTCTTTCCTTTTTCTTTCTTTTTATACCACAGAATAACAGACTAAGAAAATATGCCTTTGAATTGAAAATGAATGACCTAACTTATTTTGTGCTGGCGGCTGAAACAGAGTCAGATATGGATGAATGGATCCACACCCTCAACCGCATCCTGCAAATCAGTCCCGAGGGGCCCTCTCAGGGGAGGAGGAGCACAGAGCTCGCAGATCTGGGGCTAGGTGAGAGCACATGCACCAACTTCCCTTCCTTTGCAAAGTGTGACCTGTGCATTGGGTTGATTTAAATTGCTAGTAACTGTGGTAGTTGTCAGGTCTGGCTCACCCATCCCTGAGCTATTTGCTTAAATCTTGACTTTCACTGAATAGTGAAGGTCACCACACATAGGTATGATTTTGAGTTTACTGGCAGTGATTTGAGGATGGAAGTCATTTGTCAGCAGTATTAAAAATACACCCAAGTGTGATGGGAGGTTGCCTTAGATGGGGTAGTTGCTTTTCATAGCCTTTAATTTAATTTAATTAATTAAGATAATATTATATAAAGATAAACATGCATTACTTCCTTTTAGTTGAAAGATACCTTGCAAAAAAAAAAAAAAAAGAAAGGAAGATATCTGTCATGTATGGCTTCTGGCCATACTAAGATCAGCTTATATGTGAAAGTTCCATAAACTTTGCAGAATATTCAAGATCTTTATAAGATAAAAAATATTTCTTTTTCCCATCCTTATTACCTCTTAAGATTTTAATTCATTCTAGGCAAAGAAAAGAGAGCAAGAGAAAGGAAAGGACAGGTGATGTGAAAGGTAGAAAAACGGGTCTATAACCATGTCATAGACATGTGACATGTGAAAGACAAATACACCTTCAGAGTTGGTCATTCCTCCCAAAGGAAAACTATTTTAAGACCTTTTGCCCAGCACCATGGGATGTTAGAAACCAGAGTCTCTAAATTCTAGTAGTCTAAATAATCACATGCTATCAAGTGAAAGATGCATGTGGTCATGAGGAAGAAAACTGCGGTTGACTTTTAACACAGCTACTATATACCATGGTAGAGTTGAATGTTTTACATTCATGATTTCCTTAATAATGATCAACGAGAACATTAATATTTATAGAATTTTAAAGAGTTTAACTAACTGAAGCTAGAATGCAGGTTTGAAATTGATGGTCTGAGAGAATTATCAAAAATATATACACATAAGAAAACTTTAGTATGCATTAGTGAAGTAAGTCGTGACAACCCCAAGTATAAAGGTAGTATTAGAAGGGTCAAGAGTTCTTATGGGCTCAGGACAGTGTCATGGAAAGAATCCCAAAATGACAATCAGGAGGTCTGATTTCCAGGCCCAGATCTTGTAACAAGATGGAGTCCTAGAGCCAGGGTACAAAGAAGCATCTGCTCACCAATATCCACCCCGAGTCCAGTTTTGATATGTCACAGCCTAGAGAAATGTGTGATCCATAAGTATTACTTAGTAACCTCTCTTGGTGTATCTTTTCAAGATTCGCTGGATAATTCTATAACTTGTGAATGCACACCAGAGGACACAGAGTCTTCAGAGAACAGCCTGCACCCAGACTTCGCAAAAGTAATAACGCTGACATTTTGCTCTGCAAATAAATTTGAATTACTTATTAGTTATTGCTTTCATAGAAACACTGTATTTTAAGATTGAGACTAAGATAAACAACACTTAAAAATAAAAACATGTTTTGATAAGATTTGCTGAGTGTTAATGGAAGATATTAAAACAGTGATAATAGTAAGGAGCAACCTCTGGGCCATGTGGATGGGGTCAGGCTGTGAGTACCTGGATGCTTAGCTACCAAGAGCTAACACAGTTTTCTCTGTAGTACCTCACAGAAACTGAAGAGACTGTCAAAACAACTCGAAATATGGAGAGGCTAAATCTGTTCTCGCTGGATCCAGATATAGATGTAAGTCGGAATTCTTTCTAAGCAGACATGAACTTGATCCACACAATTGTGGTTTATGATTTAGAATTCCTTTTTTTATAATGGGTGTTTGTTGAGAAAGACTTTCAACATTTTTTCTTAGACCTTGAAACTTCAGAAAAAGGACCTTTTAGAACCCGACTCTGTGATCAAACCATTTGAAGAAAAAGCTGCCAAGAGAATCATGATCATGTGTAAAGCTCTCAACTTAAATCTTCAGGGATGTGTTACGGAGAATGAGAATGATCCGATAACGAACGTAAGTTTCCCTCTGTTACATCCTATACGCATCAGCCAACTTCACACCCCCCTCTGGCCAAAATCTTTTCTATTGCTGATAATTTCAGGCACTGAGTTCACACCCTGTAGTCTCTGAGGGAGTACAAATGACAGCATTTTCCACGTTACAAAAGTGCACAAGTTCTGAAGTGGAATTGTGAATATATTGCCATAAAACGTTCCTCTTACCTTGAAGAAGCATCACCAAATGGACTGTATTCTGGGGTCCTTTCCATTAAATCACACAGTGGTTGACAGTTTCCTAAGATATTGTTTATATCTTTTTGGTGGTATTGAGATGGCTTTTAAATCAAGCTTCTTATTTTAGCATTTATATGTTTATTTGAATGTATATTAGAGAATAGTTTAAACAAGCAAGTCAACTCTGATTTCATAGCTAAGACCAGGCTACATAGTGAATCAAGTAAAGTAATATTAGATAAATATTAAGTAATAGTAGAGGTGGTACATGGAAATGGGAGGGAAAAAAGGTGCTTCACTGATATTTGGGAACCACCAGAGTGCTCATTAAATCAACACAAGATTCCTTTTCCTACTAAGTGAGCTGTCTTGAGAGTTCTTAAGAGTCCAAGGGACAGTTCTATACCAGTCATGGCTGTATCTGTGGGAAGGGGGCATTTTATGAACATAAAAATTATTAAAAGTTGAACTATAAAGAAGAAAATAGGGGCACCTGGGTGGCTCAGGCAGTTAAATGTCCGAACCTTGGTTTCAGCTCGGGTCGTGATCTCAGGGTCATGAGATTGAGCCCCACATCAGGCTCCACACTCAGCACAAGGTCTGCTTGGGATTCTCTCTTTCTCCCTCTTCCCCTCCCCCCACTCGGGCATGCACACTTTCTCTCTCTCTTCCTCTCTCTCTCTCAAATAAATGAGTCTTTCAAAAGAAGAAGAAAATAAAAATCACACATAATCTTACCATCAGTAAAAATCAGTGTTATTTATTGCCACGATCCCGTTCATTATTTTGTAATGCACTCCACTCTAATTTTTCATAAATCATCTCTTAATTGTCATCTTTCACCTTAAGGAAGAAAACTTATTTCTAGATCCATGATATAAGCCACATTTGCTTTTAGAAGACAGAACAGTAATAAGTTTTCTCTACAAACTGAGCACACACAATCCCACACACATCTCTATGACACGGGAGGCTTGTTAGTTGTGACAATGAGTGGCTGGCAAGAAGGATGGACTCTTCCAGAAGATTTTCATACCTGCTGCCCTTGGGTCTGTAGGCACCACACCGGTCCTCTGAGCCTCCTTTCCCCTATGATATCAGGATGATGGTACATGCTATGGACCTCAGATTTAGTGAGGAGAGAGAACCAAGGGACCTGTGCCTCTCTTGGGTCAGAATACCTGACCTTCCTCCCCGACGAGTTCTCCCATGATGGGCAAGGTCTTGCCCTCACCCTCCTCTTCTGTAAACAGGGTAATAATAGCAATAACCATTTCAAATGATTGTTGGGAGGATTAAATGAAGTAACATATGGAAAGAACTTAGATAATGCTTGGTGCTCAGGAAGCAGTGATTACATATTAACTGTTATTTCAATATGTGGGAAATGGCTTTGAAATTTGTGAATACTGGGGCGCCTGGGTGGCTCAGTCGTTAAGCATCTGCCTTCGGCTCAGGTCATGATCCCGGGGTCCTGGGATCAAGCCCCGCATCAGGCTCCCTGCTCAGCGGGAAGCCTGCTTCTCCCTCTCCCACTCCCCCTGCTTGTGTTCCCTCTCTCGCTGTGTCTCTCTCTGTCAAATAAATAAATAAAATCTTTAAAAAAAAAAAAAAAAGAAATTTGTGAATACTATGTAGCCAACATATTGGTATTTTCAGTGTTGCCTGTGAGAATCTTGTTGACAAGTAAGCTAAGATCAAAAGGTGTCACCCATAAGAATCTTCCCCCAGAATTAAACTTTCTCCTATTTTATAACTGTAATTGTGCACTAGGTGTGTGCGTAAATGTGATTGCATTGGAGGTCACGTTTATTCATTTCTCAGCCAATACTTAATCAGTGCGCCTCCTGGGAGCCAGACTTGTCCTAGGTATTGGGGGAACAGCGGGGACAAGATAACAAGCCCCCTGCCCTCTTAAAGATTGATTCTGTTTGGAAAGAACAAACAGTACATTAAAAAAAAAAAAAAGGACAAGTAAATTAACACAATAATCATGCCTGGTTCACAGTTCTTTAAAATGAATCAGTATGACAGATGTGATACAGAGGAACTGAGAGATAGGTTCTTCTGGGTGGGGTGCTCATAGGAGGCCTCTCTCAGGAGGTGACAGTTGAAAAGAGACCTAAAGGGTGAGAAGGATAAAAGTGCAGGTCAAGGGAAAATGCTCAAGGCAGAAGAAAGAGGAAGTGGGAATACCTCAAAAACAACTAAGTCTTGGCAAGTTCTAGGAAGAGAAAACAGGTACCGAGGGGAAAGGCAGACCAAAACGATATGGAAGGAACTAGAAAGTACAATAATGTTAAGTACAGGCTGCAGTGAAGAGTTTGGATTTATCCTGAGTGGAGGCTAGAGTGATCTAAAACACTTTCAAATAGTGTGGTTCGATTTCTGTTTTTTAAAGATCCCATCAGAAAAAAAAAAAAAAAATGGATTGGAGGAAACAAGAGTTGACCAGGGAGAGTAGATAAGAGGCTACCACCAAAGTTCATTGCATGGTTTAGACTAGGACTGGCAAGGAAGAAGGAGAGAAATGGATGGATTTGACTGATGTTGGGTAAATTGAATGGACAGGTTTCTCTGATCCATTGGATATACAGGATAAGGGGAAGGAATATTTCAAAGATGAGTCTCTGGCTTTTGCTTTGAACACTTCTATGCATGATGGTGCCATTTACTAAGAGGACAAGACTAGATGAAGAGCAGATTTGTGGGATATTGGCCAAGAATTCCACTATGGGCATGTTAATTTGGATAGGCCTACTAGATATCCAAACAGAGATGTCCATTGGGCAGATTCAAATACAAGTCTAAAATTCGAGGGAGTGGCCATGAATGAGACAAACTTAGAAGTCTGGGCCAGACGGTGACCTGGAGGGACATATTTGGGAATTTCTGTATGCATAGAAAAAGCTCCAGAAAACAAATATTTAACAGATCACTAGAGGAGTAACCAAAGAGGTCTAAGAAGGAATGGCCATTGAAACAGAGATAAACAAGAAAAGAGTGGGTCCTAATGCCATGAGAGAAAGTGTCACCTGTGTGGAATAGGCTGAAATGCTGAGAGAGACAGCAAGCCAGAGAGGAGCCCAGCAGCTATGGCCATGTGGAGAATGCGGGGAACTACAGCAGGAGAAATTTCCATGGAGCGAAAGGGTTAGGAGGAGCGATCAGAACATACTTTCATTCAGGATTAAAGTTGAAAAAACAAAAGAAAACAAAACAGAAAAACTGGAAACTTGCTTCTTGAAACTACTTGGAAATATCAGGAAAATGTAACCCAAATCCTACCTGCATTTAACCATCTTATTAAATAAAAATAATTTTTTTTTTACTAGGCACAACTTTAAGTGTGATTAAAAAGTCCAATTTAGTAACTGAAACTCGAAGATAATGGGCTTTTCTTTCCAGTGCCGGGTAAATGACTCCTTCTACATGGATTCCTTTCTTTGTATTAAAACTCATATTCAGAAGTTTAATACTTGTATTTGGGCCAGTCTCGCCAAGCACGAGAACATGCCCAAGTTCAGAACCCAGCATCAGTATGCCCTTTTACGTCTGTAAATCCAGAGGGACAAGTTGATTTGAGGTGCTTTAAATGCCCATGTTGTTTTTAATTTATTTTAAAGTTGATACAAATGTTTAAAAAAATAGAAAATTACTTGGTAAAAATAATTTCACTGTGCTTATAAACAGTAATACAAAAAACTAATAAAATAGCCTCACCTAAACTCCACAATAATTTTTTATGTAATGGCATTGTCTTTAAAAATTTCTGTATATTATTCAGTGACACTCTTTTGTTAATGTAGTTGTTTTTAAACTCATCATTTTTAATTCTGTGAGCATATTTTTAAGTTAATCGAAATTTTTCTCCAGGTTGCTGAAGAACCAGCTTCTACATTTAATGAATGAGCTTCTAAAACGACTCCCTCAAAGAACTTTTCCATGATGAGGAAACAATATTTGACAACATGTAATCTTTTAGTCAGTCCATTGAAAACCAAATTCAAGTTGATGGTTTTCTAGTATAAAATATTTCTTTGAAAATAGCAATTGATTCCAAAAATCTGAACAAATAAACCTGCTTCACAGCAGAGCTACTTTAAAATTTTATGTTCTTGATTCTTTTAAGAAAATACAGAATTCTAAACATAAGAAGTCTATGACTTAATTTGTTAACCTTTCAAGTGCCTGATTAAACAAATCCTTATCGAAAAGCCAGTGATTCAAAAAGTAAGATTTGACATTTAAGTTGAAAAGGTGGATTGGAAGAAATAAATGAATCACCATATGAGCTTTAATTTCTGATGGATTATCAAAGTATGGTAATTTATTTCCATTCACCAAGCAGAATGAAAATCAAAATGCCCCAATTCACGAAAAATAATAGGATTTTTTTTTCCTTCGACCTTCAATGTGTTTTGAGCTCCTACCTGAGTTATTTTCATGTAATTTTTGCATTTTCAACTCTTGGCAGACAACCACTACTACAAACCAAAAGTTTTTCTAAACTAAATTAAATTGGTAAAATATAAAACTTTTACTTTTTAATTGTCTTATTTTTTTAATAATTTATTGAATTTCATTTTATATGTGTAGTTCTGTTTCTAACAGTAAGGGAGCTGACAAGTACTGTTATTATTAAGGAATTACACTAATAACCTTGTTATAAGCTAGCCATATTACTATGTTTCAAAGCACACGAGATACCTACTAAACATTCAGTACAATCCCCAGCATGAGTGAGTCTGTACAATGATGAACATAATGTGATTTTTGTATATAACCTGCTTGTCCACAGAACATATGCTGGTAGGCATCCATTCAAAATTAAGTAGCATAAACAAAAGTAAAAATGTTCTTTGTAAGCATATTCCATTTTTAGAAGCCTGTAGTTAATTATATGTAATTACATCTATTTTCGTGGTTGTAATTATATGTGTATATATGTACATATGTATAATATGTATGGAATTACATGTGCATATATTTATTTATCTCAGTCCTTGTTTTATTTAATTTCTGTTGCATTTGATGGTTTTCTAGTTGAAAATTCCTTCTTTCTTGACTCTTTCTTCGGTTTCTATGATACTCTGGCTGCATGAAAATTGTCGTTTGCTTTCTCTAAATCTCTCTCCACTCTCCAGTCTCCTTTATAAACTGCTTTCCCTTCTCCATCTCAATCCTTTGTATGCTGATATTTCCCAGGATGCCATTCTGATTCTTTTCTCTTTATCTCATGGCTTAGACAGGAGCCTCCCCAGCCCAGCTTCTCTCACTGAGCTCAAAACTCATATCCAACTGTGATTGGAATGTCCTATAGATGACTCTGCATGTACCATCCAGAATTCACCTCTGTATCTTTATCGTGTATATCAGTGAGTGTCATTGACATCCCCTTAATTTGTTACATACCCAAACCTAGGACTTTTCTTTTATGCATGTGTACCCCTGTGAACACTTCTCCCCAAGCACCCAGGACACGCAGTGGACCTCTGCATCCTTTGGTTGTACCTCCTTAATGTTCCTCAAATGCATGTCCCACAAATGCATCCTTTTGTGTTCTTTATGTTCTTTCATGACTTTATGGCTTTGTACATGTCACTCAACCGACCATAGATGCCCCTTCTAACCACATCTTTATCTAATTTTTGCTTCTTTAAAAGTCAACCCAGGGATGCCCGGGTGGCTCAGTAGTTAAGCGTCTGCCTTCTGCTCAGGTCGTGATCCCAGGGTCCTGGGATCGAGCCCCACATCGGGCTCCCTGCTCAGCAGGAAGTCTGCTTCTCCCTCTCCCACTCCCCCTGCTTGTGTTCCTTCTCTCACTGTGTCTCTCTCTGTCAAATAAATAAATAAAATCTTAAAAAAATAAAAAGTCAACCCAGGGATGCCTGGGTGGCTCAGTTGGTTAAGCATCTGCCTTCAGCTCAGGTCACGATCCTGGGTCCTGGGATCGAGCTCCAAACCCCGAGATGGGTTACCTGCTCAGCAGGCTACCTGCTCAGCAGGGAGTCAGCTTCTCCCTCTCCGTCTGTTCCTGCCCCCACTGCTTTTGTGATCTCTCTCTCTCTCTCTCTCTCTCATTCTCTCAAATAAATAAATAAAATCTTTAAAAAAGAAAAACTCAGCCAAGGAACTTTCCTTTTCTTTCCCATCTTCCATTCTCTTCCCATTTTTCTCTTTATTTCACATTTTCCCTTTCCTTCTTAGCATGGTGGCGAGAGGGGGAGGAGTAGTCATGCAGAGCCTTGGAGCATGTAAAAACTCTAGATGATGGGGGGCAGAAAGCCATGTGGAGGCACAGAAACCTTGCACTTGGCCTTGCCAGGATCTGGGGCACTGGGCAGGGTGATACAGAGGAGGCGATTAGAAAAGGTAGCTATGGTTGGGAGACTGGTTGCTTTGAACCAGAAAGTAAATTGATTGAACAAATAATAGGTCAATGATAACAAGAGCCAAGATTTTCACTATTGAAGGAAAGAGTTACATGAAATATGAATAGGGGAAAGGCTTGAAAGAAGCCTCTGGATTTGAATTGGAAATACAAATTTCAACATGAACTTATGAGTTTTTAATAAATATTCATGTACAGGGGCACCTGGGTGGCTCAGTCATTAAGCATCTGCTGACGGCTCAGGTCATGATCCCAGGGTCCTGGGATAGAGTCCCACATCGGGATCCCTGCTCAGCAGGAAGCCTGTTCTTCCCTCTCCTACTCCCCCTGTTTGTGTTCCCTCTCTCACTGTGTCTCTCTCTGTCAAATAAATAAATAAAATCTTTTTTCAAAAAATAAATAAATACATACATACATATTCATGTACAGATAGAGATAAAGAAATCATTGTAGATGTGAATGCTACGTGTATGGACACGTGCGTGTGTATGTGTGTGTGTGTGTGTGTGTGTGTGTAGATGTGTAGGTGTGTCCCAGTAACAATGAGCATAATGAGCACCGAGCTCTTGGTTTCTAAATGTCACCCTCACAGAAAGGAAGCAGGGCTATATGGAGAAACGACTGGAGCATTGAAAGTATAAGATGAGCCTAGAACATCTTGTTAAGTAAAGAAGTGTCCCCCCAAATTATGGGGATCTACCAAAAAGACAAAAGAGCTACCTCTAGCCAAACTGGAACAATGTGAGCATCACTATAAATAATGATAATAAGAGACTGAAATATGTTGAATGAAATAGTAGTAATCCATGAGTCTATACTTGTATAAATAAATAAATAAATAAATAAATAAATAAAAAGAAGGGAAAGCTCATCATTACAGTAGAATATCAATGAATAAATGTAGAAAGAATGATGGAACTAGAAAACCACCCTTAGTAGCCATCATAGTGGTGGTTGATTCCAGTGGGAGTTACAGAGGGTAGGTTGGGTTTGGTGAGTATCAAGACATGGGGTAATCTCCGAATATTTCTCCAAAACTGTTGATCACTTACCATTTGATATATATTATTGATATTAAAAATATTATATATAAATAGTAGTTGTTTATCTACTGTTTTCTTAAAAAGTATACTAAGGGTAAACTGCAGATGTAATGATTTTATATCAGAACAATTGGTTCTTTCTTTTTCTTGCAGATTGAGCCTTTTTTTGTGAGTGTGGCACTTTATGACCTCAGAGACAGCAGGAAGATTTCTGCCGATTTCCACGTGGATCTCAATCACACTGCTGTCAGGCAAATGCTCTCAGGGTCTTCCGTGGGGTTGGAAAATGGAAACATTGACACTGTCACTCCAAGACAATCAGAAGAACCTCACGTCAAAGGATTTCCAGAGGAATGGCTAAAATTTCCAAAGCAGGTTGCACTTTTGTTTACTTGTGATGGCACCAAAAATGCTCGTTTCGTTGTTCTCACCAAAAGATTACATCAGTTTCTGAAATAAAAATTCCCTTAAAGCAGTCCCTTAAAAAAAATGGAATTTTGTAAATGTCTTCAGTATGCTTCCTTACTTACTTATTAGCTGTTTTCTTTGTACATAGGCTATATTTTCTGTAAGCAATCCGCATTCTGAAATTGTTTTTGTGGCCAAAATCGAAAAAGTACTGATGGGGAACATTGCAAGTGGTGCTGAACCTTATATTAAGAATCCAGACTCCAACAAGGTAATGCATAATCTTTTTCATAAATAATTTCAATTGCTTTCAAGATATAAAATCACCCTGCCTTGATGAATTATCAAGCTTGGTACAATGTAGGTCTAGAAATAGTCACTTCTTAGTGAAATGACTATCCCTCAGGAAAATTTGAAAGCATATATTCTTAGTTTATGTTTCTGACTGACTTCTGATAATCTATTAGTAGAAATAAATTGAAATATGGACAAAGCTTTAACTCCAAGGATCAAAGTATTAGCAATAATGAAAAGTTAGGATTAATCTGACTTAAAAACAAGCGGATACATAGTTTACTGATGATGAACTAAGTGAAAAAGTAAGATAGATAATTCTATATAAAATTATTTTAACACCTAAGTGAAGAAAGAAGAAATACTGAAATTTCTTTGAATGGTGGGACTATGGGAAATTTTTTCTTCCTTTTTTCTTTTTTTTTAAACCTATCTTATTTTATTTTTTTAGAGAGAGAGAGGGCGCATGAGGTGGGAGGAGAGGGAGAGAGAGAATCTTCAGCAGACTCCTGCTGAGTGTGGAGGCTGACGAGGGCCTTGATCTCACTATCCTGAGATCATGACCTGAGCCAAAATCAGGAGTTGGAGGCTTAACTGACTGAACCACCCAGGCGCCCCTCTTCCTTTTTTTTCTATAACCATATTTTCTTTAATAATCAAATGTTACTGTTTAATAGAAAGTAAATATTAAAAGTCTGTATTTTTCACACAAAAGAAATACATTGGGGAAAGAATGACTAACCATTGAATTTAAACTTGTGTAACCATGTAGTGCAGTGTTAAGCATATTTATGAGATTCAGGGTTTGGCAAACTACAACATGTGAGCCAGATCCACCTGGCACTTGTTTCTGTGAATAAAGTTTTATTTACACAGTCACACTCATTCATTTATGGATTGTCTATGGCCACCTTCCTGCTAGAGAGACAGAGAGGCAGAGTTGAGAAGCTGCGACATAGACCATGTGGTCCACAAAGCCCAGTATATTTACTGTGTGACCCTCTGCAGAACAAGTTTGCCAACCCCTGCCATCATGAATAAAAATATAAGACAGACTGTGAGCGCAAATTTGAAAACACTTTCCATTCAATGTTTTAAGGTCTTTCAAGTCTGAAAAAAAGGGGGGGGGGAGTTGGCATTAGAAGACAAAGGTATTTTCTATATTTGAAATTTGCAGAGTGAAAATTCCAGAACACAATACAGTAGATCCAACACAGAAAATAGCATGTGGCTCTTTACCAGACAGACTCTGCAGGCCAGTGAGGCAGAATTCCGGGGTTTCAATGTAAGATAATCTGGAAAAGTATGTATTAGCATTTTACTTGGACAGTTTATAAAGAGGTGTTCTAAACATTATTTTTATGTATTTTTCCCTCAGTATGCACAAAAGATACTAAAATCCAACAGGCAGTTCTTCAGCAAGTTGGGAAGATACCGCATGCCCTTTGCTTGGGCGGTAAGGTAGGTTGACAGCTACAATCAACAGAACAGTAATGAATTTATAATTTGCATTGGAAGCTTCAGTTTGAACATCTCTTTGCTACCTGGTATACAAGCAGGGGGGAGGGACCGAGGGAGAGAGAGAGAAGTAGACTCCTCGCTGAGTGCAGAGCCTGACATGGGGCTCGATCTTATGACCCTGAGATCATGACCTGAGCCAAAATCAAGAGGCAGAGTCTTAACCAACTGAGCCATGCAGGCGCCCCCCCAGTATTTTTAATATATCAACGCCTAGAAGAATATTACTGTGGTCATCTTCTTAAACACTCAGTGCTCCCCAGAAACATGTGTCTTACAGACTATTTAGTAAGACAGCTTATACTAGATTGAAGCTATGACTTGAGTGCATGTGTGTGCATGACCAGATATGCTATGGTTTCTTGGTAGAATCGAAGTCATAACTTGTTTATTATGCATATTTGGTTCAATAAACCCTTGACCTTATATCAGTCCTGAGAGTTTGGCGTGCATAAAATTCAGATGGAAGCACTGTGATTTCTTATGCAGCTGCATATTTTCATCTATGTGCAGGGCACAGGCCTATATATGGATGTCCAGATGAAACCATCAGTTTGATCATCTAAACTCTCTTTAATTTTGCTACGGATTAGCATAGCCAAAATATCAGTACCAGTTCACTCTCTGTTAGGAATGCTGAGTTATGTGGACACTGAGGGTAGAATCATCCTCCTGGACATATAACCTCTACATAAAGAACAAGAATTGCTTTTTGGATCTGGTTAAAGATCAATTCCTATTGTCCTTCTCAATCTCTTTGCCTCCTCATGTCTGTGGAATTTCTTAAAAGAGGATTCCACATATGAGTGAAATCATATGATAATTGTCTTTCTCTGATTGACTTATTTCACTTAGCATAGTACCAACAGAGGATCGTAGGGGAAGGGAGGGAAAAATAAAATAAGACGAAATCAGAGATGGAAACAAACCATAAGAGACTCCCGACTATAGGAAACAGACTGAGGATTGCTGGAAGGGATTGCTGGGGGTTGGGATAACTGGGTGATGAACGGTAAGGCGGGCACATGATGTAAGGAACACTGGGTGTTATATGCAACTGAAGAATTACTGAACTCTACCTCTGAAACTAATGATACACTATATATTGATTAACTGAGTTTAAATAAAATAAGATTTAAAAAGAGGAAAAGCCTGGCACAGACCTAAGGAAGAAAGATCAGCAACATATAAACCAAAAGAACTTTAAAAAGTTAGTGCTACAAAGTAAGACAACCTCGTAAGTACTCATTTGGGTATTGGTAACATTGTCCCAGTGGCAGTAACTTTAAAATCCAGAAAGAAGGCAGAATTTGTTAATTTTGCCATTTTTAGGTCTCCCAATACCCAGGGATGAGCATAACCAGAGTGAATCCACCAGTATTTTTTATCATTTTGAGGTTGTTCCTTGAAGTTGGGGACAGGTGGATGGGAAGGGAAAGGGGGAAACGTGAGCAGACAGACTTACACGGTCTCTAGGAATGAGTTTGCCCTAAGGCAACCCTGTTGTAAGGGAGAAAGAGACCAGACCCAGGAGTTGGACAGACATGGTCCAAATCAGGCCACCACTTATGAGTGGTAACTTAAGGCAAGTTTTCTCTCTGGGTCTCAGGGTCCCATCCACAGAACGAAGCTGACAGCACCCACCTCGTGGGCAATGGGTGCAATCTCAGATACAAAAGCACTTGGCATAAAGTAGATCACCCATAACACTCTGTCTCTCTTGTGTCTCTCCCTGCAGGGACAGCTAATGCCCACATCTAATGCATGGAACAGATAGTATTTGAATATACTGAACGCTTTATGTTGAATTTCATTGTTTTTATTTCTCATAAGCTTCCAGAGAAAAGATAACTAGTTCTAATTTGCTGGCCAAATTTTCTCATATTGATAGGTATTCTCAGTTCCCCCAAGAAAACCCGTTGGGGCATGTAGAGGCAAGGTATCCCTTGGCAAGAGTGAAATATAGCATAATTACAATGGTGAACATATTTTCTCTTAAAGGATCCAGAACTTTTGTGAGGTTTTAGAAGCAGGCATTTGAGAGCCAGAGCTGGTTTTGAAATCTCAATTCCACTTAGTAGCCAAGTGAACTTAAACAAGTACTCATAGTCTGCCCTTACCTCAGTTTTTTTTTTTTTCCAAATGTACAAAAGAGGACTGATAATACCTAATTTATTGTTGCAGGGATTAATGAGTACAGATATGTACCCAATAAAATACAGTCATGGTTAGCAGTCACTATTCTTATATGATTATTATTAAGTTACCTTTGGAGATAATATTTTCGGCAAGTTCCCCTTTCCGGTAAATTTGGGACAGTGAAGAATAATGTGGGGAAAAGAAGGGAAAGAATTACCCCTTACTGAGCTGTAAGGAGAAGTAACAATTGTACTGTGAAGTTGTCTAGTAAAATATGCTGAAAGAATGACAGATGAAGTTTCAAGGGAGACTGACAATATTACTGGCTATCGGAGTAATTATGTCCAGGACAGGAAAGCCAATAAAACCACAAGCTCATGCTACATTAATGCCTGATGAGTGGTTTGGTTGTAGGTTGGGAAACAGGAGACACCACCAATTTGTGTGTATAAACATACAGCTTGCATATACATAAACCTCTCTGACATCTGAGAAAAAAAATGGTTACCAGCACAGTTCTAAAGATTTCATGTCAAACCGCTTGGAAAAACTAATCACAAAAAATAAGTAAAAGATCCAGCCAAAGAAGATTTTAATTTCCTCTTCACAATGTGGAAATTGCTTCAAATGAATGGTGACTGAATCAGAGGAGGGCTCTTGGTCTCTCGAGCCGTTTTGATATAAACTAGCCTGCTGACATATTTCAGTCCTTTATTAGATATGCTGGTTGTCTGGCCAGGTTTTTTCCTACTATATTTTCTAGACTGCAGTTTGCCTAATAATATAGCTTTGAGTGTACCCTAAAACATTTCGGCCCTTAAAATCAACTGCCATTAAAAAGCGTAGAATAGACAATTTAGCTTATGACCATATTTTTACCCAGATCCAGCCCATCCTACCCACTACTGCATGCACAGATGTTCATCACTCTGAACATTTTTTTCTGAAATGAATTTGGTGTGTTTTCTTATTTTTGGCACCAGCTGTACTGCTGTTTTATGGTTTAAAAAAAAAAAGAAAGGTTATTCTTGGAGGAAGTAAAGAGAACCTATTCAGATGGCTACAATGGGTATTTTACACTCTTTGATTTGGGAGAAAGTCAACCCTTACCAATATGTCTTGTTTTTTGTTTTGTTTTGTTTTTTGTTTTTTTAAAAGATTTTATTTATTTGGAGAGAAAGAATGAGACAGAGAGAGCATGAGAGGGGGGAGGGTCAGAGGGAGAAGCAGACTCCCCGCTGAGCAGGGAGCCCGATGCGGGACTCGATCCCGGG